AAAAAATTTGGCTTGACTCTTCGTTAGTCGGAAAGTTTATGTTACTTGGACATCATAATAAAAAAATTGTCAACGAAAAACAGATACTTCACTCTGAATTTGTGCGTTAATTACATGAGACAGCAATAAATAATTAGCTCAATTAGATAATGTGATGAGTAAAATTAGCTTTCAATGTAGTTATGAAAATTGCATTAGCATCAATAAAGTCTTTATTTAAAGAAAGTACAGCAGATGATAGCTAATCTCTCAAAAATCTGTAACCTCCTTTATCTAATTATGTCTGTTCGTTTTCGATATTCGAAGCTACTTTAAAATTTACAGGCTAGTAGAATTCGAATATGGTCTTAAATATTAAAACTGACTAGGCCATCTTTAATCAAAGTTTGAAAAATATTCATATTAGAATTTATACATTACAATAGCTAGCATGATTTTTAGCCAATCTCAGGCTATTCACAATTCCCAGACTTCCCGTGATGTACGACCAGTGTTTAAAAATCTATATATGGAATCTGTGGTACTCTTTGAATTCGCGGATTTTATTATGTACCATACATGTCTCGCATCTTTTTTATTATGTTTACGAAAATTATTAGGCTTTTCCACATACTGAAAACAAAATCGAATTTAAACATTGTGTGCGATGCACATTTACTGATCAATAATTTGAACCCACGATACTGTATCGATATAGTTGTAAATCCGTGCAATTCGTATGATATTATGCAATTCAATGATAAATCCGATCTTTGTATTTACAGGTTTTACACTTTATAATGTTTTAAAATTGACCTCTCCTCCAATGCTTTAAAGCGTTAAACGAAATTATAACTTTAAGCGACTAAACTTGTAAATTAAAATCATTTACATAGTTATTCATTATTTTTAGTCTCTAATTCTTTTTTGGCAAATATGCTAAATAATCATTATAATATGTCTAATTCAAATGATTCAGATAATTTTATTTTTTGTTAAAAAGGAAAATGTCATAAAAATAGATATTGATAAACATAGATAATATTTGTACGACTTATAATTCAATGTAAAATTGTCAAATAGAATCTAAATTAGAAACAATAGAAGCAAGAGAGGGTGGATTATTATTAGGCAAAGAAAATGTATTGCTAAAATTAATAAGTGTATTGTTATTTGGCGTAATGGAATCGATATTAATATGTGGAAAGAAACTGGTTTGGATCAGTCGAAATTCTTCATTATAGTTAAGGTAGAGAGGAATAGGCATGCCAAATTGATGTTCAGTTAAAGTCAATGTGTATTCCTGTTCAATATTTTCACATTCACCGAGATAATTTTCAAAAACATTAGCTAATCTATTGGTAGTTTTCGGTCCTCGTTTTTTAACCGATTTAACATAAGTACACTTAAGGTTATTTGATGCACAATAAGTGCAAGTAGCTTCTTCGGAACACTTTACGTGTTTTTTTCGGCAATTAGTACATGCTTCGGTCGCGTAAGGACCTCGTCGTTTACTACTTGAATGAGACATGACCAGTCGAAGTATTTATAAA